ATGAAACAAAGATGTGTTGCTGTGTTGTGAGTTCAGGTTATGTTGATGAAACAAAGATGTGTTGCTGTGTTGTGAGTTCAGGTTATGTTGATGAAACAAAGATGTGTTGCTGTGTTGTGAAGTTCAGGTTATGTTGATGAAACAAAGATGTGTTGCTGTGTTGTGAGTTCAGGTTATGTTGATGAAACAAAGATGTGTTGCTGCGTTGCTGTGTTGTGAAGTTCAGGTTATGTTCATGAAACAAAGATGTGTTCCTGCGTTGTGAAGTTCAGGTTATGTTGATGAAACAAAGATGTGATGCTGTTTTGTGAAGTTCAGGTTATGTTGATGAAACAAAGATGTGTTGCTGTGTTGTGAGTTCAGGTTATGTTGATGAAACAAAGATGTGTTGCTGTGTTGTGAGTTCAAGTTATGTTGATGAAACAAAGATGTGTTGCTGTGTTGTGAGTTCAGGTTATGTTGATGAAACAAAGATGTGTTGCTGTGTTGTGAAGTTCAGGTTATGTTGATGAAACAAAGATGTGTTGCTGTGTTGTGAGTTCAGGTTATGTTGATGAAACAAAGATGTGATGCTGTTTTGTGAGTTCAGGTTATGTTGATGAAACAAAGATGTGTTGCTGTGTTGTGAGTTCAGGTTATGTTCAGGTTATGTTGATGAAACAAAGATGTGTTGCTGTGTTGTGAGTTCAGGTTATGTTGATGAAACAAAGATGTGTTGCTGTGTTGTGAGTTCAGGTTATGTTGATGAAACAAAGATGATGTATTTGCTGTGTTGTGAGTTCAGGTTATGTTGATGAAACAAAGATGTGTTGCTGTGTGAAGTTCAGGTTATGTTGATGAAACAAAGATGTGTTGCTGTGTTGTGAGTTCAGGTTATGTTGATGAAACAAAGATGTGTTGCTGTGTTGTGAAGTTCAGGTTATGTTGATGAAACAAAGATGTGTTGCTGTGTTGTGAAGTTCAGGTTATGTTGATGAAACAAAGATGTGTTGCTGTGTTGTGAGTTCAGGTTATGTTGGATGAAACAAAGATGTGTTGCTGTGTTGTGAGTTCAGGTTATGTTGATGAAACAAAAAGATGTGTTGCTGTGTTGTGAGTTCAGGTTATGTTGATGAAACAAAGATGTGTTGCTGTGTTGTGAAGTTCAGGTTATGTTGATGAAACAAAGATGTGTTGCTGTGTTGTGAAGTTCAGGTTATGTTGATGAAACAAAGATGTGTTGCTGTGTTGTGAGTTCAGGTTATGTTGATGAAACAAAGATGTGTTGCTGTGTTGTGAGTTCAGGTTATGTTGATGAAACAAAGATGTGTTGCTGCGTTGCTGTGTTGTGAAGTTCAGGTTATGTTGATGAAACAAAGATGTGTTCCTGCGTTGTGAAGTTCAGGTTATGTTGATGAAACAAAGATGTCTTGCTGTGTTGTGAGTTCAGGTTATGTCGATGAAACAAAGATTTGTTGCTGTGTTGTGAGTTCAGGTTATGTGGATGAAACAAAGATGTGTTGCTGTGTTGTGAGTTCAGGTTATGTTGATGAAACAAAGATGTGTTGCTGTGTTGTGAAGTTCAGGTTATGTTGATGAAACAAAGATGTGTTGCTGTGTTGTGAGTTCAGGTTATGTTGATGAAACAAAGATGTGATGCTGTTTTGTGAAGTTCAAGTTATGTTGATGAAACAAAGATGTGTTGCTGTGTTGTGAGTTCAGGTTATGTTGAAGAAACAAAGATGTGTTGCTATATTTTGAGTTCAGGTTATGTTGATGAAACAAAGATGTGTTGCTGTGTTGTGAGTTCAGGTTATGTTGATGAAACAAAGATGTGTTGCTGTGTTGTGAGTTCAGGTTATGTTGATGAAACAAAGATGTGTTGCTGTGTTGTGAGTTGCCAGCTGGTTGTGAAGTTCAGGTGTTGTGTGTTCAGGTTATGTTGATGAAACAAAGATGTGTTGCTGTGTTGTGTGAGTTCAGGTTATGTTGATGAAACAAAGATGTGTTGCTGTGTTGTGAGTTCAGGTTATGTTGATGAAACAAAAGATGTGTTGCTGTGTTGTGAGTTCAGGTTATGTTGATGAAACAAAGATGTGTTGCTGTGTTGTGAGTGTTGTGAGTTCAGGTTATGTTGATGAAACAAAGATGTGTTGCTGTGTTGTGAGTTCAGGTTATGTTGATGAAACAAAGATGTGATGCTGTTTTGTGAAGTTCAGGTTATGTTGATGAAACAAAGATGTGTTGCTGCGTTGTGAGTTCAGGTTATGTTGATGAAACAAAGAAGTGTTGCTGTGTTGTGAGTTCAGGTTATGTTGATGAAACAAAGATGTGTTGCTGTGTTGTGAGTTCAGGTTATGTTGATGAAACAAAGATGTGTTGCTGTGTTGTGAGTTCAGGTTATGTTGATGAAACAAAGATGTGTTGCTGTGTTGTGAGTTCAGGTTATGTTGATGAAACAAAGATGTGTTGCTGTGTTGTGAGTTCAGGTTATGTTGATGAAACAAAGATGTGTTGCTGTGTTGTGAGTTCAGATTATGTTGATGAAACAAAGATGTGATGCTGTTTTGTGAAGTTCAGGTTATGTTGATGAAACAAAGATGTGTTGCTGCGTTGTGAGTTCAGGTTATGTTCATGAAACAAAGAAGTGTTGCTGTGTTGTGAGTTCAGGTTATGTGGATGAAACAAAGATGTGTTGCTGTGTTGGGAGTTCAGGTTATGTGGATGAAACAAAGATGTGATGCTGTTTTGTGAAGTTCAGGTTATTTTCATGAAACAAAGATGTGTTGCTGTGTTGTGAGTTCAGGTTATGTTGATGAAACAAAGATGTGTTGCTGTGTTGTGAGTTCAGGTTATGTTGATGAAACAAAGATGTGTTGCTGTGTTTTGAGTTCAGGTTATGTTGATGAAACAAAGATGTGTTGCTGTGTTGTGAGTTCAGGTTATGTTGATGAAACAAAGATGTGTTGCTGTGTTGTGAGTTCAGGTTATGTTGATGAAACAAAGATGTGTTGCTGTGTTGTGAGTTCAGGTTATGTTGATGAAACAAAGATGTGTTGCTGTGTTGTGAAGTTCAGGTTATGTTGATGAAACAAAGATGTGTTGCTGTGTTGTGAGTTCAGGTTATGTTGAAACAAAGATGTTGATGAAGGTTATGTTGATGAAACAAAGATGTGTTGCTGTGTTGTGAAGTTCAGGTTATGTTGATGAAACAAAGATGTGTTGCTGTGTTGTGAGTTCAGGTTATGTTGATGAAACAAAGATGTGTTGCTGTGTTGTGAGTTCAGGTTATGTTGATGAAACAAAGATGTGTTGCTGTGTTGTGAGTTCAGGTTATGTTGATGAAACAAAGATGTGTTGCTGTGTTGTGAGTTCAGGTTATGTTGATGAAACAAAGATGTGTTGCTGTGTTGTGAGTTCAGGTTATGTTGATGAAACAAAGTTGTGTTGCTGTGTTGTGAGTTCAGGTTATGTTGATGAAACAAAGATGTGTTGCTGTGTTGTGAAGTTCAGGTTATGCTGAAGAAACAAAGATGTGTTGCTGTGTTGTGAAGTTCAGTAGATATTGATGAAACGAAGATGTGTTGCTGTGTTGTGATGTTCAGGTGATATTTATGAAACGAAGACGTGTAAAGGAGTTGTGAAATTTAATTCAGTATTATTTAGAACTAAGCTATGAGTTACTGTTTTGCAAATAGTTAAATGATTCTGTGCATAGATTTCGTGCTGGGGGTGGTACCACAGAGAATTAGGAAATTGAAAAACATTTAAAATGTAAATGTAAGCGGTATTTTGACATCAAACTGAGAAATGTTTCTTAATGAAGGTTGTCTTTCAACGCATGATGCAGCAAGTTCAATGCCAAATACCAACTACGTATGATGAAGCTGCGTGTATGTATAGAATCAGTCTGCTAATGATACGTTTTATTCACACACCGCATGAGGTTACATGTGTTTGTACTATGTGTGACGTTACCCGTGCATATTTACCACCTATATATCGCTATGTCTAACAGTGCTAAAGTCAACCATTTCTCACTGGTTCCGGAAATGACACTTGATCTGTGAAGCGTTAATCATCTGTAACAACCACTGATCTGTGAAATGTCCGTACAGGCTGTTTGTGGCCACATTAGCAAACGTTAGCAAAGCTTTGATGATTGAGAATTCAGCAGACCCCTGTATTCAGTCATTAATGAATTCGGCAGTAAGGTCCATGTGCAGTTTCCCTACTGGAATACCAATGAATCAGTCTGAAATTACGAAAAGGTCGAGTATTTCTTAAGCAAGATATAACAGCCTGTATCACGTTGGGATATACCTATAACCTTTAAAGAAGTGATATACAATACTAAAAACAAAAGAAACTATATTGATATATGTCAGCAGTTATTGATTTATTCTATTTATCAACACGTATAATAAATACGGTCACATAAACCATCAAGGTGAATGTTACTTTAGGAACAACTTTCTTGCAGCGTAATTGTATGTACGTCTGACATCGAAGGTGTTAAAGCATCGAACTGAATGGTAACTTCTGAGACCTGTCTGATTCAAATCGGGAAGACTAGTCCTGTAAAGGACTAACTCAGTACTAGGTTTTATTAACCAGACGAAGCTTACGGTGGTGGAAAGGCAAACAAGTTACATTTACAGCCTACATGATCAAAATAGATTCAAGCGGTATGCAGATAAAGTATCAATGTACAAACTTCTATAATGATATGCATGGCTATTAGGCGTATAGCATACTCCCGAATACATATGGTTTCCATGACAATGACATGGTGATGATAACTGTCTCTCATCAAGTCGGATGTGAAATATTGGGACGACGTATTCCCAACATTATGCACATCTGCTGTATCACCACGAACCTTCTCACATCCGTTCCCAGAATCATATAGCCAAGAGTCAAGTGTCAGTTTAACGTTCGTCAGCACCGTCATATACATTCTTAACTTTTACTGGACGCATTTCAGTCTTGATCCTCGCTCCGTCCTGCTTGTACATTAATTAATTCTTTTCTACATCATCATCACCTTTAACTTGTTCTGACGAGTTCAGAGTTTGCTCTACCTTTACTATGTTTTCATCTTGATCTAGTTCTTGACTTGCAGGTGGGTCTGTTCCAGCCGCCTTTCTGGCCTTATAACCCTTGAAGCCAGCTTGTATCTTAACGGCGGCCTTTTCCACATCCGGGTCGTTCAGGTCGATGTCTACCTCGTCGATACCCCCATTAGCCTGTTGATTTAGTGATTCCTTTGTGTCTTTAGTAAATGTTGGTTCTTCCAACTTATCTTGCGGTTGTTTAGTTGCGTTCTTATCTCTTACTTTCTGCCTGTCTATATATCCTCGTATCCCAGCTTGAATCTTCACGGCCGCCTCTTCTTGACGCATATCTTGTACCTTCTCCGCGGCGGCATGTTGACGGTAGTTGGTCTGGATGGTGAGTGCAGCAGTTTGATGCTCAGGATTAGAGACATCGGTTACCGGTTCCTTAAACGAGTTATTGTTGTAGAAGACATCTTCCATCTTGGCCCCGTGTTTAGCAGGGTCGCGTCCACCGGAGTCTCGAGCTCGCAATGCATTTTCAAAGTATTGTAGTCCAAATGAATACACATTCTTAGGCTGCAATCGCAGGACCTCTCGTGACAAGCCCTCCAGTAGATTCTGGAAGCCTTTAGGCGCCCTCAGCCTTGTATTAGATAAAGGAACGGTCATTTTGATTATTTGCTCGGTCTTCTCCTGTGTTGTCGGTGGTCTCGCGTAATATGAACGAATGAAGTCAAACCGTAGCAATGGCCCTTGTATGTTTGACACAAACTGCCTTGGAAACCGATTACGCAACAGCATGGTGTAAAATAGTCCTAATTAACGTATTGGCGAATGGCCACCTCGAGATTATGTGAAATAAGCCGTTCAGCTAGTTAATCCCTAGAATCCGCCACAGCTGCACACACGGCAACCACACAGAAAGAGGGTGCCGGGGACCATGCCAGCCGATATTGCGTTTTCTTTACAATTTAATCCTCTCTAATTCACAGGTTGAAAATTGATTGCCGTCGTTTACCAAAAGCAGATGCTCAGTTTCCAGGACTTTGCATGGCAGCTCACTCGTTACCCTACAGTGTCCTTGATATCAGGAAACCCGAGATAGTCATTGTTTGCCACTGTTTCTGTTTTACTTCCCACAGCAGTATTCCATGAAGAGTTCCATTATACCGTCACATTTACTTTCTAACGTTGTAGATAACGGAAAAGAGATATGACCGCGTAGGGCAGAGCGAAGTATGACCGACCGTACATCATCAATACATCTAGATGGATGGCAGATATAATCAATCATTGATCAATTTTCATATCATAAGGTGTGTACCACGTGTTCCTCGAGCTCCCTAGCATGCATGTATAGCTTGATGCATGATCAGGTAAGTGCGTGCGTGCGTGCGTGTGTGTGTGTGTGAATGAGTACTATGGTTTAACGCCGCTTTTAGCAATATTCCAGCAATATCGGGGACAAAAAAATGGGCCTTACACATTGTACCCATGTGGGAAATCGAACCGTGGTCTTTGGTATGTGTGTGTGTTTGTGTGTATGTGTGTGTGTATGTGTGTGTTTGTGCGTGTGTCCGTATATGTCATACATCAATGTGTAGCTACACCTCTGTATGTCGTACATCAATGTGTAGCTACATGTCTGTATGTCGTACATCAATGTGTAGCTACATGTCTGTATGTCGTACATCAATGTTTAACTACATGTCTGTATGCCGTACATCCATGTTTAGCTACATGTCTGTATGTCGTACATCAATGTGTAGCTACATGTCTGTATGTCGTACATCAATATGTAGCTACATGTCTGTATGTCGTACATCAATGTGTAGCTACACGTCTGTTTGTCGTACATCAATGTGTAGCTACAGGTCTGTTTGTCGTACATCAATGTGTAGCTACATGTCTGTATGTCGTACATCAATGTGTAGCTACACCTCTGTATGTCGTACATCAATATGTAGCTACATGTCTGTATGTCGTACATCAATGTGTAGCTACACCTCTGTATGTCGTACATCAATGTGTAGCTACATGTCTGTATGTCGTACATCAATGTGTAGCTACATGTCTGTATGTCGTACATCAATATGTAGCTACATGTCTGTATGGCGTACATCAATGTGTAGCTACACGTCTGTTTGTCGTACATCAATGTGTAGCTACAGGTCTGTTTGTCGTACACCAATGTGTAGCTACATGTCTGTATGTCGTACATCAATGTGTAGCTACACCTCTGTATGTCGTACATCAATATGTAGCTACATGTCTGTATGTCGTACATCAATGTGTAGCTACACCTCTGTATGTCGTACATCAATGTGTAGCTACACCTCTGTTTGTCGTACATCAATGTGTAGCTACACCTCTGTATGTCGTACATCAATGTGTAGCTACACCTCTGTATGTCGTACATCAATGTGTAGCTACACCTCTGTTTGTCGTACATCAATGTGCACCAAAGCCGTGGCCGTGTCATATGTCCCATCTTAGAATGTCGGTGACCATAACGTTGACACGCATAGGAACTACAGTATATAGATTGATGGGTCAGCGCCATACCTCCCAACTGATTAAAAGTGTAATTCTGCTGACATCCATATTTGCTCGTAACATTTGTAAAATTACAAGTGACTGAATAGAACATCGAACTTGTGGCTGCTTAACTAATTTTGCTTCATTGATAATATATGCATGGTTCCCAATCTGCTGAAATACAGTGCATTAACTACCGTGCCCCTACCTAGTGCATGTGGGGGTGGGGGTGGGGGGTTTGCCACGACATTGGGACGAATGAGAGCATCTAGACGCCCACGTGTGCTCACATACGATAAAGCGACAGCTGTATTCCTTTTACCTCATTATGAGAGTAATTGCCGACCATTAAACTATAAAAGATCGGGTTAAATTTTACACCTTCAACACATTCGGTCGTTTCATCTAACACTGATCACAGCTCATCTATTTGATTTACTTAGTGGATGCTGACACCCATATGTTTCATCAGTAACTGTACATTAAGCCATACCGACACATAAAGCACACTGCACTTTGGTGAGCTGCAACATACTTGTACTGACAAGAGACAACCTAGGAATCAACACTGAAAGGTACTTACTGTCGAGACACCAGGGATGCGTGCAATGGTATCTACATGACCGGATCGGCGATGCAAAATGCCTCCCAAAGGTAGTGATCACTCGTGTTTAGCTGCAGGGGTATCCCGAGTAATCTTTGTTAAGCTTTGTACGAAGTGAATGCCTCCCGGTAGTCGGCCAGATAGCCGTTGCCTGCTCCCTCTCCCACGATATATAATTTGTTGATTTCACTCGAGGAGAGTACAAACACATAGAGAAAGGTTGTTACATCTCATTTGTGCTTAAAAATGGACTGATGTCGATTTCATGTCCAATTCATTACCCTAGTGGTAAACCTGTTCCCGGATAGTTTTAAGAACACGTTTTGTTCATTCTTTCTAACGAGACACATACAGGAAACAGGTGTAGTTACTTTGCTTAATAACCTTTGCGCGTAAACAATAACTTAATGAGTTTAGATAACAATGGTAATTAGTTGAATGTGGTGTATAATAGTTGCTTGAACTCCAGGAAGAAGCGAATGGTGATGTTGGTGATATATAAGTGCTGGCAATGTAAGTGTTTAGTTCACTGCGCCTAACATTCAGCATGGCCGTATGATCCCCAGGGAGTTGAAAAAGTGTCGGAAAGTGCAATAGTGTCCGGTGACCGGGCTAGTAATGTACGTAGCGCCGTAAGCAAGCAATGTGCCTGGATATGAGCGCCATATAAGCGGACTATTACTATATGAGTAAACTACCATGTGTTTATATAATACTATTATCTCACCCGGACTGTCGAGTGTGGTTCTTAAAGCCTGGTGTTCTAATTAACTAACACTAGCTTGCAGTAATATTACATGACAATAATATCTGCTTCAGACCCTAGTATGGTATATGTTAGAGTACCAAGAACGCGTTCTTAAAACACAGACATGTCCCTTTTACCTGTTCTGAGGTGTGTAGACTGCCAGAGTCCTGTACTCATCACACATTCTGTGTTGTAGACATCTTTGATTAGTTCATCAGTTTTGGAGCTTTTCACAGGCTCCTTTAATTATGTTTTATGTCATCATTTATATGATGACATGAAAAGAAAATATACCACATGTTCATACAGAAGTATAGTAATGGTGTTGCCATGGATATTCTGTCGAAGAGTCAACCTGACAGATATGTTGTTCCCCAAACCGTTCTCTTTTAACAACGGGTAAGATATCTGTCTCTAAACGACTGATCTTGTAATTGCGTAGATAATTTGCAAAGTGACGAGTTTCCCTCATCAACGGAAACAATTTCTAGTATGAAAGTCGTCATCAACACATGATGACATATTAACCAACCCTGAACATTCCTCATGACTTGTCAAGTTTACCTTACCTTTCTTGCTTCTTATGAAAGTATCCCAGAATACAACACACAACCATATCTGCTACAACGGTGCTCGTGATGTCGCCCATGTATGCCCATCTCGATTCACTGACTCCATGTCTGCAACAGAACAATTAGATGTGTAGCAGTTGTACCGAGTATATTAAATAAAAACTAGTGCATATTATGAGTATTTGGAAATTATATTGCAACGAATTGGCTTCATTGAGTGTCACATCCGTGACACAATTATGAAGTACTAATTGACTTTATATACAGATGGGAGTGCAATAAAATAGATTCTATCAAAACTAATATCAACCTGAATTCACGCACCTGCCAGTTTACATGTAATTGTAACAAGTTATATATACTCATGCCAATAATGGTTGTCACCCCCTTCAATTTGTTTAATTGGAGAGGGGGTGTGGGGTGGGGAAGTGAGGTGTTGGGGGTTTGGGTGTGGAGGGGGGTGACAACCATTATTGGCATGAGTATACATTGATCCATTCCGACGACAGAGTGTTGCATTATGCTCCAGAGTATGAATGTGGTTTAAACATATTTTTATTAATTTCACAAAAACTGAAACCTGGATAGGCGAACAAACCTAGTGGCTTATAAATGAACGCCGCTCCAGTACATTATTCCAGCTGGATACATAAATGAAATAATTTAACAACAAAAGAATAATACTGAGAAAGAATATTGAGAGAACATCATACAATATATCTGATATATGATTGAATATTGAATATGTTCGTTATGGTGTTGGTTATGCCAAGCAACGAAATGAGCTGCAGCAGAAAATGCAATTATATAAACTTGAAGTACATTGAGTATATAAGTAGTGGTGATAATCACTGGAAGTGGTTACTTTTAGAAATGAACTGGTGTAATGAGTTGAGAATTAATGAAAGTAGTTTCAACATCGAATCCTTGAATATAAAACTACATAGTTGTTCTTAAATTTTGATAGTTCTGACATGTGAAAAGATAGTGAATAACGTTATGATGATCACATGAATCACTTGGATGTTTCCGATATATGTTGATTTCATTTGTCTGCGTTGAGATCACTACAGCCGAGTTTGAGGCGACAATGGATGATTAACAGCTTCATCGGACAATAGATTCCACGACATAATCACTCTCGGTAAACATGATTGAGAGTGTCTTTGCGTTCTACAGTTTATAGCTTGAATGAAGTACCGTTTCTAAGGTTATAGTTGCTTTGTTCAAATATTCTACCTTGTACAAGATCGTTCAGATAATCAGAAGTCAGACGATGATACATTTTATAGAAAGTTAGAGCAATATCGTCTTTCTTGTGCTATAATTGGTTTCCCTGTATATTTTATCGTGACTGGTGCCACGAACCACACCGCATATAGTTCTTAATGCGTCTAAATGTAAATGTTCCAGTATAATCGCCTGTTCATATATATGACAGCAGTAATCAAAAAGTGGTAAGGTAAAGGACTTATATAAACTAAGTATTTAGCGTTTTCCGGTATTTCAAACTTCTCAGACAATTGATCATTGGTCTAATTTCTTTATCATGTCACCTATATGAACTCTCCACGAACAATCGATTTGAAGTGTTATTCCTAAGTGTTTATGGTTATCAACTTCTTTAATAGTTTCGTCATTCATTAATAAGTTCGGTCTGACATGGTTTTTCGTTTTTCGTGTGCACGTTATACTCTCAATCTTACTAGGATTAAAATTAACTTGCCACTTTCAAGCCCAATCTAACATTTTGCCAGATCATTGTTTATAATTGCGGCTGCTGTAATATGATCATCGATTCTATTATAACATAAACTCTGTCAAAAAAGAAACGCAACCCCTGTATTTTAGAGATTTTGATCTGAAGTTTTAGGACGACACGGCATTTTTATTATTTAAGACAGAAGTCTGAAATTTGGCAGAATAATAACCCAGATGGGCATGTTTAAAATTGTCATTTCAAAAGTCATCTCACAGACACCAGTTTGTCACCAGGGGGGCGTCTGTCTCAGTATCTCGTATGAGCACCACGCGCTGCAATCACTGCACGGCATCTCCTTGGACAAGAACGGATAAGACGCCGGATTCTTTCCTGGGGAATGGCTCTCCACTCCTCCTGCAGTGCAACGGCGAGCTGTTGCAGCGTCTGTGGCGGCGGCTGACGTTGACGTACGCGTCGATCCAGAGTATCCCACAGGTGTTCAATAGGGTTGAGGTCTGGTGATTTAGAGGGTCATGGCAAGACATTGACGTTGGAATTCTGCAGAAAGTTCATTGTTGCACGTGCAGTATGAGGCCGGGCGTTGTCCCGTTGAAAATCTGTGTCTGTTGGTCAATAATCGGGAGAAGGTGAAGCTCTAACACGTGGTTGATGTAACGTTGGGCTGTCAGGTTCCTGGAACGATCACCAAGTCAGATTTCTGGTTGTATGAGATGGTTCCCCAAACCATGACGCTTTCTCCGCCAAATCTGTCCACCTGTCGGACGCAGATGGGCGCTAAACGTTTATGACGTCTCCTATACAGACGCTGTCTTCCGTCGTGACGTTGCAAAGAAAACGTGATTCATCAGAAAACCAGATTCGCCTCCAGTTTTGTAAAGTCCGTATCCTTACGTTGTTGCACCACCTGAGTCGTCGGCGTCGATGTAGGGGCGTAGTACAGGTCCAACAACTGGTCTACAGGCACGTAAACCCGCTTCTTTCAGACGGTTCCTAATCGTTTGAGCTGACACTCTCCTCAAACCTGGTATTTGTGTGGCAGTCACGGTTGGTAGGGCATGCCGATTACGCAGGTGATGGACCCGGATGTACCGATCTTGAAGGGGGGTCGTGATTCTTGGCCTTCCACTTCTCGGGCGATCGTTGGTCAAATTGAAGTTGTTGTAGCGGCTCCAAAGTCGGGATATCGTTGTTTTGTGAACATTTAGGTGCCGTGCAACAGTTCCAAAACTTTCTCCGGCTTGAACACGACCAATGGCGATATTTCGGTCGGCAGCACTCAATCGTGGCATTTTTAACACAGCTTTTCGGCGACAAATGAATGAATATAATACGGAAGCACATGGGCTTTTTATACACCCCTACATTAACTGCCATTTTCATGATTTGCATGTGTTTTTTTTGTGCGAAGTCACCATGAGGGTCATTTCATGCGTTGTGACGGAATAAGCAATAAAATACACTTATGCGTACAAATGCAGTTGTTTGGATGGTAATCTTCATTAATTACGTGTATCATTTCAATACATTCGAATAAAATTTAGTTTGGAAGCAATAACTTCATTCAAACGAATTTTTCATATCTGAGGACAGGGGTTGCGTTTCTTTTTTTGACAGAGTTTATATTGGTGTATCATCCGCAAAAACGGCGAATGGCGCTATCTATACCATCCACAATGTCATTAATATAAATAATGAACAGAAGCGGTCCTAAAACGGAACCCTGATCATGAGGCACGCCAGCTTCCACAGACTTAATACCGAACAATAGCCATTTATTACCACTTTCTGCATTCTATTATCTAGATAACTTTCAAACCACTCCAAAAGTTCTCCCCGTATAACATAAGCATGAAGTTTATGAATAATGTCTTTGTGACGGTATCTTCCCATGACAGTCCTCCAAAAAGACTAAATTAAGCTGTACCCTTGATAATAATGGTATGGGCCCAGATAAAAAAGACAACATTAGGTATTAACTATAGTTTTATCAATTCATGTAATGAATTATGTTTTTGTTAAATTAATACATATTGCATCAACATATATGTACATCAACATATATTTGCCAGATCACATTTACTTGTGGATATTATCAAAAACAATAATTTATATACATGTACCTATCAAACATATGAGACCTAGCCGTAAGTCCCAAAACATCCAAGTCAATTTAGCTCTACCAAACTTTTAATCGTAGTATATTTGTTATTTTTAATAATGGCTAAAATTCAGCATAATCGCCAGCAGCTGAAGGGATGGTGTAAATCCAGCTAGGGTCCATGCAGGTAGCAAAAGTACTGTAAGTCCCCATGGACCCTAGTATGGTGATCTAAAGCCCGTTTTTATTTTGTACGGTCTATACTGATTTAATTTTATGATAGCGTACTAGTTTTACATTTATATCTGTGATGCTCTAGTATCTTTATTTTAATATTGATTTAAAATAACTTGTTCTCGTCACGATATGGCTGAAATATTGCCGATGTGACGCTAAATATTAACTCACTCACTCACTATGAGGCCAAGCACCATATTATTTTACATCACATGTTTGTCAGTGCACAGAAAAGAAGTACTCTAGAAATACCTGGGGCTCACCTTTCTGGGATGGGACATACTCTGCTCTTCTTAGGCCAGCTCATTAATTAAATAGGGGTGGACAGTATGGCTCAGTATGAACCCAAACCTTATCAAAGGCTTTCCTCTACATCACAGAATACGACTCTGATTTACTTTCCTTGGTCTACTGCCCTTGTGATGACATTATAAAGATAAGTTAGTTGATTTATTGTAGAATCACCAGGCATACATCCAGATTGTAAGTTTGATGAAATGTTGTTATCCCTGAAAAAGTTGAAGACGTATTTAAACACGCATTTTTCAAAAACTTTAGCGACACAGCTTGTTAACGCGACAGGTCTAAACTTTGAACAATCGTGTTCAACACCTTTCTTATGAAGCGGAATCGCCAATGCTAGATTCCAAGATGAAGGGGCTGTTTATTACGAAGGGAGATGTTGGCTTGGCTAACTTGGTTAGAGAGTCTGATGTTAGTTTCAGTACGATGTTTCCAGTGCCATTTGGCCCAGTGGCTTTCGATGTATCTAGACTCAGAAGAATATCGCGAACATCTCCATTACTTATTGTGATAGATGACATAGGATGATCGATTTCACGCGTTCGATATCGGGCAGATCGGCGTTAGGATCAACAACTTGGGATTGTTTTGAGAAAAACGAGTTGAGTACATCAACAATATCTTGTTCGTTGTCATAAACTATGTCATTTGAAACAACTGGTGGAAACGATGATTTAATAGAATTTTTAAAAAATATTCTTTAACTAATCACCACCGCATTTTAGTACCATGAGTGTTATTCATAGA